GGGGCGAGGGGCTCACCTGTGCCTTTCTTGCAGATGTAGGGCAGGTTGTAGTTGCAGGGGACGTCGTTCCACTTGCCGATCTCGTGGGACACCAGCACCACGCAGTCCTCGCCGCCCGCAAAGAAGTTGTCGGGCTGGTTCTCCCGCCAGTTCTCGTATTGCTGGGGGAAGAGACGGCGGCAATCACAGCCCCTCGCCCGCAGGCCCCTGCCTGCCCCCGCCCCACCAGGCCCCCTCCATCCCGCTCTGCAGTGCAAAGCGGGGCAGGAGCCAGGGGTGGGTCCCTGGAGGACGCAGGCTGCCCAAGGCCTGGCCAACCCCCACGCCCTTTACACTAGTGATACATGTGCACTAGTGAGAACCCCTCTGTCTTACTCTGTCGGTTCCTGGGGGGCTGAGCCAGCTGCTGGCCAGGCTCCCCACAGACACACCAGAGTCTCAGGCATTCGACTGCTCAGGGCCGTTCTCCTGCCCCACCCCCGTGGGCCCGCTGGGCCGTGTCCTCCCTGCTCAAACCCAGACCGATGCCCGTGGCTGCCTGTCTGTGCACGGGGGCCTGCTAGCTTGTGTGGGCGGGACGGTGCTCTCTGCGACTGCCCGGAGGGGGAGGCCAGGCCCGGGAAGCGACCGGCCCGCTTGTGTCACACGCTCACACGGGCCGTCTGACACACACACAGTCGCACATTATCACGCTCACCCCAGTGTGCACAGCCAGGCGTACACACCGGCATCCACCCGTGCCCACTCACGTGGACTTGGGCTTGCACGCATGTGCACGGTCAGCCCCCACACCCTGAGCCCTGCCAGGCCCCTCCCTCTTTGTCTTTGTCTTCCCTATCCTTACACACACACATATTCACACTCGATTCCTTGCACGCTCTCCTTTGCACACTCACTCCCCCCTGCCTCACCAGCCCCCCTGGGGCTCCCCTCGCCCCTGTCCTTTGCACCGGGCATACTTTCATCCCCAAGCTGGGCTCACCAGCATTTTATAGCCCCGATCCTGCCGGGACAGCGAAGGCTCCTTGCCAGAGGGGCTCCAAACTCACCAGGCCTGTGTTATCCGTCCACTGGAAATCCTGCTCCACAATCCGGTCGTTGAGCCCGATCCAGGTGTTCTCATGCCCAAAGCCTGGGGAGAGTCACACAAGAGACACACGTGACTGGAGCGTGAGTCATCGCCTGGGGGGGTGGCCGTGCGAGCCGACCAGGAAAGTGCTTGCTAGAGCAGATCAGTGTCCTTGGCTGGCATCACATGGGGACGGCACGCGCCAGGGCACTAGAACCTGGCCCCAAGTGCTGCTTCTCGCCCCGTGTTGCACTGTGTTATACTAGGTGCCATGTTCCACCCCAGCCATGGCTGCATTTCCCTGCTGGATGAGCTTGACCTATAGATTTATCTCCCTGGAGCACATCCGCTGGGTGGGCCTAGCTGGGTTTTTCATCCACAGACCTCCAGGCACTTAAGACGGTGTGTCTTTTTGCAAGTGGGGAAACTGAGGCCCGGAGCAGGGCTGTGACTGGCCCAGTGTGACAGAGCTGACCCAGGGGTCCTGATGTCCAGCCCCCAGGTCTAACTCCAGAGCATGGGATAAAACCCAGGAGTCCTGATGGTCTGATGTGGAATGAGTTTTGGCGGGTCTCAGCCCAGGTCTCAGGCCCCAGGGAACACCAGCGCTGCTGAGAAGTCCATGCCGGGGCTTGGAGTAGAGTCCAGGGGTTCTGGCTTCCTTCCTCTTTGCCAGCCCTCCCCATAACAGCGCCTGCCTGCCCTCCCTCCAGCAATAGGGCGGTGCCCAGAGCAGGTTTTGTTGGGTCGAGGAAGAATCAGCGGGCAGAAAATGGATCTCACCGCTTTCTCCTTTTCCCCAGGCTGGGTTTTGCACTCACCAACTGGTGGGGTTCAGGGGTGGAATTATTTTGGGGGGGGGTCTCAATTCCACCCCGGTGCAGAAGCTCCCCCACCCATAACTTGCTGTGTTGCCTGCCCCCGGGGCGTGGGAAAATGCGCCTTGGAGAGCTCGACAGAAGAGAGCGCTTTCATCTCGCAGACAAAAGCAGGAGGCGATGCAACGGGCCGGGCGTCGGAGTCAGACCAGAGAGAAGAGGCACATGTTGCCAGCCAGAGTAATTAACCGTGGGAATAGCCAGCACGGCAGGGGAGGTGGCAAATCCGCCATCACGTGGAGTCTTGAAATCAAGAGTGGGCAGCTCAGCCACATTTCTGTGGCTCTTGCAGGAGTGAGCTGCTCTGACTTGGGTCTGGATCATAACAACGCTCCCCCTCCGACCCCCCCATCACTCAGATGCAGTGCTTTACAAAGAGATCAGGAGCAACGGATTTGGGAACCCCATTTCACAGATGGGAAAACTGAGGCCTGGAGCAGCGCTGTCACGGTTAAGTCACGCCAGGGAGAGGATCCTGTCTATTGCCCATCTGCAGCCCTCCTCAGCATGAACACAGTTATACTGGGAGGTAGGGGCAGAGGGATGCTCCAGTCCCGTGCAGGGATGGGGAGCCGGAAGCCTGCTGCTGTCTCCCTTCCCCGTGTGGGGCTGCTGGCTCCTGCTGCCGCCCCCCACCACATCGGTGGGGGGCAAGAGCAGCCAGCGGCAGCCCCCTGCAGCCAGGAGGGCCAATAATGGCAGCGGGGAAGAAGCGGCAGCCGCATCCCCCCGACCTGCTGGGCAAGCTGGGAGAGTCAGCAGCCCCCGCCCATGGGGGGGGGTACCAAGAGTGGCAGCCCCCCGACAAGGGGGCCGGGCTAGGGGGGTCCCCCACTGAGATCCCGCACTGACTCAGGTAAACCTGGTTAACGGGGATTTTACATCCCTGCTGGGGGGGGTGTTCGGGTTTATACCAGGGTAATCCCTATGGGAAGGCGAAATGGGCTAGACCGGTACCACGGGCCTTCCAGCGTAACAGGGACACCGTCCTCCAACCAATGGGGGTAGAATAACCCCCCCAGGCTCCGCCCCTTCCCAGCCCACGCCAAGTTCCACGGAAACCTGGTTAACGGGGATTTTACATCCCTGCTGGGGGGGGTGTTCGGGTTTATACCAGGGTAATCCCTATGGGAAGGCGAAATGGGCTAGACCGGTACCACGGGCCTTCCAGCGTAACAGGGACACCGTCCTCCAACCAATGGGGGTAGAATAACCCCCCCAGGCTCCGCCCCTTCCCAGCCCACGCCAAGTTCCACGGGAAGGACCCCAGGATCCGCGCCAGAGCACGGGGGGCAAGACTCCTGCATCCTATGCCGTGTTCTAATCCCCCCCATCTGTGTGTCGAATAAATTTTGTTCGGTGCACTGAGATATCTGCAGATGTGCACCACCCATGATGGGGGCGCTTTGCCAACCAGCCAGGCGGCATCTGACCCTCCCCTGGGCAGCCGCCCAAGCACTCGGCTTACAGGGAACTCTGGTTCTATGCTCAGCTCTGCCTCTCTGGCTGGTCTTGGGAGAGTCCCTGGCCGCCTTACGACGTGATTTGCCCCCTCTGTCACGCGGGGGCAATGGGTCATGTCAGGAAGCCCGGCGCTCGCTCCATGGAAGTCACCAGCACAGCACAGCCCTGAGAAATGCTCGCCAGAGGCGGGTGGATTTTCCACAGAGCCGCAGAACAGACGCAAGGTGCAAGGAAGCCGGGAAAGGGAAGCCGGGAAGGCAGCCAAAGGCCCGGTTCCCAGTGCTCTCGGCTGCTGCGTGGGAGGCCGTGTGCTGCTCACGCAGCCCCAGAGGGACTCATTCCCTGGCCTCGGAGCTGGAGTTTTGCTCACAGGATCTTATTAAGAGTCCTTGCCTCTGGCAGCCAGGATGGCGGGGGGGCGGGGGGGGGGGGGGGGGGGGGGGGGGGGGGGGGAGCCGGTACACATGGGAAGCCGGCTTTCAAGTCAGCTCCCCACACATATTGGCTCCCGCAGAGCCAACTGCTCCCCCCCTTCCCGCCCTGCATACCGACACGCTTGAACCTAGAAGTCGGCTCCAGTCTCATGCTCAGGTCCAAGCCGGCCCCAGCCCAGAGCCCAGTGCAGCCGAGGCCCGAGGGCACCGAGACATTTTCAGAACCGACCCGACGCCTCCCCTCAGCCCCGACGCGTTGGCCTGGGGGTGCCGCCTGGTGCGGGAGGGCTCCGGCTGGTCTCACACCTGGCCCAACCCAAACCCCACACTCCTACCCGGGCCCCTTGCGTTCCGGTCGGGCTGCGCTTGCACATGGCTGCTTGGCCAGGCCTGTGTCCATCCCTGGATCCTGATCTCTCCTCCTCCCAGAGCCTGATCCGTCTGTCTGCCCAGGCACCCCTCACCCCGAAATCCTAATCACAATCCAGCTCCCTCTTCCTCCCTAGATCCCACGGTGCCTCGCTGTCCATCTGGCTGGCTTCTTATCCTACCCCCTGCAACCTGAGCATCCAGATCTAGGTCCCCTCCTCCCGTCCCCAAACTTTGCGGGTGTGGGGCCAAGCTGCAAACAGGCCCCAGGTGCCCGGCCCCCAGAGAGCCCCAAGACAACCCACAAGTGCTGCTCCCCCATCCAGACCTGGAGGGGCACTTCCCTGCCCCCCAGCGTGGGGGGAGGGGGGTGTTAAAGGGGCCGCGCTGCTCACTCTGCAGGCTCGTACCTTTCTCGCACAGGCTGTCCCCATAGCTGGGCAGGCAAAGGCAGACGAAGGAGTTTATCTCGTCGATGCAGGTGCCCCCGTTCTGACACGGGCTGGACAGGCAGTCGTCAATGTCTGCCAGGAGAGACACAGGACTGCTCAGGGTCGGGGGTGACACAGCCCCTCCCAGGCAGTGAGTGTGTGGTGGAGACACACACACACACACACACGCACACACACACACACACACACACACACACACACACACACACTCAAAAGCAGACGCGTAGGCACGCATGCGCACATGCTTATGCACACAAGCACACACATGCATATGTAAGCACACACACACACACACACAAGCATATGCACACACATATGCAGGCACACACAAGCACACAAATATGCACACACACATGCATATGCATGCACACACACAAGCAAACGCATATGCACATACACAAAAGCACAGATGTATACATGCATGTGCACATGCACACAAGCATACACATGCATATACACACACATACAAAGCATATGCATGTACACGTATGCACACACACATGTATGCACACACATAAGCATACAAATAGGCACACATACGCATGCACACACAAGTACACGCACATGCACACACAAGCACACACACAGATATGCACACGTTCGCCACCACCCCCACACGCACGCATATGCCTGCGCACCAATAAGCGAAGGCAGCCATCTCCCTACAGCGCAGAGGCAGAGGTTTGATGCCCCGGTGTGGGACACCGCAGGGATACCATGGAGCAAGAGCCTGGGAGCTAGGCCTGGAGCCAGACGGATGGAGAGATCAACACGCTCTAAGCTTGGGATGGAGCAAGAGAGACACCTCGGAGCTGGGGCCGGGCTGAGAAAGGAGGGATGGGAGTGGATGGAGG